AGGCATCCATAGAAACCTCAAGAACTTGCTTTGCTTTTTTGGGAACAGAAAAAGACTTATTTGCTGACAGAAATGAAAATGAAGGGGCTACCCTATTCATCTGGGCCTGTGTCTTATTCCATACGTCCCTTCAAGTGATAGTGCAAAAGACTCAACTGACAAACCTAATTTTAGCATCAAATGACTAGCTTCAGAGTTGTTCAGTACCATCCTACATTGTGCTTTTTGGCCTTAAGATTACTAAAAACCAAGGAATCCCAACTCTGCTCTCTGCTTTTAAAAAACTCCAGAAAATTTTAGCCAGCTAGCCCTTTCCTATAAATTACCGGAACATGTCTGCCTAATCCACAAGTCCTAGCATTGTTCAGATTAGTGTTATAAGATCAGACTTATATTCTCTAACTTCCTGGAAGGTTTTCTGTCTCTTTTCTTTTGGCATAAAAAGTCACCATGGTTGCACTACCAGTCAAAAGAGGGAAAGGGGTTTTATTTGTTATGTTTCCTGGTAATCAGGAAAATTTGAGGGCTCTTGTCCCTTCTAGAGCTCTCAGAACCAGTGGGAGTAAAATAAGTTATAGTATATACTTGGTGTTGTCAATGCTTTTGATTTTATTGGAAGTCTCACAGTCCCTGGTGCTTAAACCATCAGCTCCTGGAAAAGGTATGAATCTCTCCTTCCTTTGCAGAAAAGTAAGCTTCTTTTAAACCATGTACAGGCATTTAATTTATCCTAGGGGAGTCACTACTCTTCCAGGAGAAACCACAAATATACAGATGCTCAGGATTTTTTTCTCAAAGCAAAAATGGCCACTCCAGGAGAAGAATAACCTGGGAACCACCAGGGTTTAATTACTCCTGTGAGAATATCTCATGCAAGAACAAATGTCTGGACACATTCTTTTTTGAAAGAAGCCACGATACAGTCCTCCAGCATCCCAGGGTGTTTTGCTACCCGCCCTCTTGCCTCCCCACTCTGCTCCCTGTGCTCCCCCCCTCCAACAGGAGATAATGGACTGGACTCTTCTGCTCCAGAGAAGCAGGAAACAGTTCCCCCCTTTACAATCCCGACTTTGTGCTGCAGGAAGCTGGAGCCTGAGGCAGCCTGGGTCAGCCAGTCAGAGATGCCCTGTGAACTGCTGCTGTTTATACCAGGCAGAGTGAAGGAGTCTATAAAGCCCTCTAAGATTTGTGCACAAGGCCCCCTTGGCTGCACAGCATGAACATTGCAAGTTCTCTGCCTCTGCTTTTCAAGGGCTCATTCAAATCTCTTTTCAGGCATCTCTGGGTAAATTTTTGTACAATGCATTGCATCAATCACATAATCTCACAATTTAAGCAGGGCTAGGTTGAATTAATATTTCAGTGAGACATCCAGAGAACAGAGAAGTGCTGCAGGGAATAGGGTGAGTGACTCAGTAGGTGGAATTAGCTCAGAATCCATTTTGAACACCCTAGTATGAGGGTGCTAAGGGGCACTGTATTATTTAGAGATGCTGTCATTTGGCTGAGATGTAAGTAGACATCTTGACCTTTTGTGGTCATCACAGGTGCTGTGGCAGTTTTCACAGGAGTGAAAATTAATTAATCTCTGTCTATACAAGTGCATTCCCTTCTACATTTTCAAGTGGATGTATTGTTTTTCACATCATGTCCCAAATCGGTATGTAATGTTGCTGCATGTGTACAATGACCATATTTCTTCTCAGATGACTGTGTTGCCGTGATAAGGTGAAGTGAATTTGGGGTATAGGCAGTATCTCAGTTTCTTTGATGCTTTGGGTTCCTCTCAAGGCAAACAGGCAATACACTAAATTAATCCTTACACTTTCTGGTTTGTCAAAAAAAAAAAAAAAAAAGCACTACTATATTAAAAGACTGTACTGTGTGCTATATAGAAAGATGGTATTGGTAGTGGGGAAAGGGTTCCAGCACAAGAGAAGGAAATAGCAATTTTTAATATTTTATATGATTTAGTCAGGATTACTATATTTACTTGAATACAAGATGAGATTGTTTCCCCCATTTGGCATGTGGTGTGGGGAGCCCCTTGTCTTATAATTGCATACAAGGAAAATGACTAAATATATTATCTATCATTAAGCTGCTGCTAAACGCACCATGTGCTTAGCAATGGAAACCAACCATGAAGTTAGTTAATCATTGAGCATGACTATAAAAGACATGGCCCACATTGGACAAACATGTTGATGGAAACCTACCACAAGGATAGGTTAATACAGCCCATCTGAATAAGACATAATCAGGGTTGTCTTCTAGTTGAATAAATATGGTATTTACATGATAGGAGTCTTATGCACACCCTGATTTTGATTCTTCACCTAATACATGATGCTGTGAGATTGCATTTTTCATTTGAGAACAAATTCTCAATTAACGGAAGCTTCACAGGATTACATAGTTCATGGAGAGTTTCCACATCTGAAGCCTAGTGAATAGTGGTCCTACAACCCCCAGTCAGGTAGGAGCAGGTACTACTCTTGCCTGGTATCTTTATTGCAGAGCAAACTGGTTAACACTCAGCTGAGAAGCTATTATGGTTGGCACGCTGTCGTCTTCATCCCATGAAGCACAGCTGGAGGAAACAGGTGCCCGAACTCCCTTTCGGGAAGTGAGATGCTGCTGATGAGTTGCTTAGATCTCCTCTGCAGAACGTAGCAGTGGGAGGACGGAAGAGTGGAGAAGCCCAGTGCTAAGATGACATGAATGGGAGCCCTGTCAGAATCTGAGGACAGGATGTGCACTATTTCATTCTGCTTCCCACCAGGAAGGAGCTTTAATCGTTTACCTGGATCAGCTAAGAATGAACTAACCAAGGGGAAAAATCTTAGGGAGAGGAAGGGTATTTGGGGGAGAGTTATGTCTTGTTGACCTCCAGATCCCATTCAAACTTTAGCACCATTCCAGGAACTGGAGTGTGGGAGACATAATTACTGAGGGAAAGTTCAGTCCTCTATAAGTATCTACTTATTGACAAGCCTAGAAGAATGCAGTGGTAGTCAAGTACTTTTCAATCTTTTTCACGTTGAAAGTTTACGTTGTGCTCAAGGCACTTTTTGCACTTAATAAAATGTTCCACAGCCCCTAAAAGAAAGTGTCCTTAAACATTAAGGCAAGTGCTTTTTATAAGACCAAGGTCATTTAATAATAAATGATAGCTTCTGTTCTTCTTCTTTGGTAAGATAATTGCTATAACTTGCAATTGTTAAAGACTATGATCAGCAGCTTTCCAGCAGGGAAATGCATTTAGGTCAGTGCATTGGCAGGTGTTCGTATTTCTGGAAAGATCCATCTCCCAGATTGCTAATGAGTGGCCAAGCAAGTATACAGATAGTTAATAATACTGCTTAATTGCCACAGTCAGATCAAGCAAACACATAATTTATTGCTATTCTGAGCATCTGAACACTAGAAGAATGATAAACTATATGACAAAGCCTTACTGAGATTGTTAGTGAAAGTCACTGGCTGCAGTTGACTATCTGTTTCTAGCAGGTGATTCCTCTAACAGCATTTTCCTGCTTTGGCAGGGGAAAAGGCATATAATTCTTTTTCCTTGGCAGCTATTTTCAAAGTATTATACCTTTCCAGATCATTACACAGCCAAAAGTTTCTTCCTGTGTTTAAACATCCACAGTGGATTCGAAAAGGATGTTGTGTTTTCCTGAACATAGCTAATGAAACATAAATATGTTAACTGAATGTGTTATATTCTAACCAGATGTTTGACTGATGGATTTGAACACATGTACAGAGAACTAATATGCTATGCAAAGAGGATTTCTAAAAAAGGAAAAGACAAATAAATTGGAGAATTATCTAATCATGCAAACAGGAAATGATTCCCCTAATCTTGGTGATCACAAAGCTCATTTTGGAAGTTAAATGGTTTTAAAAAGAACTCACTGCAGCTGAAAAATGAGTTTCTTTCAAGTAAATGATATAGAGTGCCAAACCTGACACTTTTCTGGGAAAGTCTTACGACTGACTGGCCTGAGTTAAAAGCATTTGTCTCGTGGGTAAATGTGCACCACCTCCAGGCCATGTCCAGCACCTGTTCTGGGGAAAAAAGCCCTGTCCACTCGGTCAGGGGTCTAACTGGCTATAACCACCTCCTTTCTGTAATCTGGCATGTGCTGAGTGGGAGCAAGGGAACAGGGTGTGTTTCTCGCTGGCGGTCCATGGTTTACACTTGGGAAAGAGCTTCTTAGAGCAAACTAAAGGCTGTTGGAGGGGAATCACTACAGTGTTAGATAAGGTTCTCAAGTTTCCATGGTTACCTGAGCAATTTGTGTAGTATTATACGTTCAAATGCAAGGGATGAAGTAACAAAAACAAATGGGAAGTACGAGTATCATTTAATAGAAAGGCAAATAGTCAAGGATATTGGCGGCTACCTGACGAGTATGAATGAATGAAGAAAAGAAGCCTGATGGATATTTAAAACATGCCATTTGAAATGTGTGTTCCCTCAGAATTAGAATTTCCTTTTCTTTTTAAAAAAAAAAAGGGGAATAATCTCTGAAAACAAAGAGTGGGATGATTTTTCATAACCTAATTCTGATACTGAAATCTGACATGTGGCTTTACGACTTTCAGCAGCGAAGGTTGGTGCAAAACATAATATGTTTTGTTTATTTAGTAGCACATATAGTGGAAGCAGTTTATCCCCATGGAAACCTATTTTCATTTGGGCCAAAAGCAACTTTTTTCTTTGCTAGGGCTGCTGGTGTATCAGCATAATATAACGACTGTATATTGACAGCGGATTTCAAACATATTTGAAAAAGTGTTGAGTAAATGAGCATATGTGTAGCAGAGTGGAGACATTGAACTGTGCAGCTTTTAGTGTGGAATAAAAGTGTTATGAGCAATTGCAGGGCAGTATTTGGCCTTCCGTTACTTACCCCAAAGTAGAGGAAAAGTGCCTTTGAACCTTTTTAATACAGTATGATTATCTTTAAACTTCTTTTTAAAAACAGGTGACAAAAGAATTAAAACAGTATGACAATAAAATTATAGAGTGCAAGTTTGAGAACAACAGCTGGGTCTTCATGAGGCAGAGGATAGACAAAAGCTTTCCAAATGCTTACACAACAGCTTTAGGTAAGTAAAGTAACTTATGCATTCAAGCTTTTATATTAACCACATAAGTAATTTGATTGCAGGTACATTGTCAAGAGCTTTGGGCCCAAAATTTCATCCGCCTGATGGATATTGTAATTGAAGAAAAGAAAGTGTTCTGTGTTCTCCGTGTTAAATTTGGGGCTTCTGCATTAATTTTAGGGGCCTGAGTGTTTCACATACAGTGTAAGAGCCTGATCTGGTAAGCACTTAAGCTCATGCTTGATTTTATAAACCAGGAGCAAAGTAAGCAACTAAAACATATATGGGCTTCAGCAGGACTAGTCAGAGATCAATCAAATAGACAAAATGCCCCCTGACTTCAGTGGAACCAAGATTTCACCAATAGTTTATAAACGCATCCTTGCGTCCTCTAAAGTCCTCTATAGAAATGCAGATGTGTAGATATATGTTAAATTCAAGGTCTGTGTTTAAGTGAGGGCCCCAAAACATATTTGCAGTAGGTTTACAACAACAGTTAACTAACAAACTCTGTTCCCAGCACTCCGTTGACTTATGCCGAGGCACAACGAAAGATACTTTGGCACGTTAATGTGCTACGTAAGTTAAATTTGTTGAACAAAAAAAACCCACGATAATTTCAGCTCTATTCAAAACAGCAAAATCATTGTTTGCCAGATGGAAGACAAAATTATTAGGGGAAAATGTAATTTCAGTCTTAAAATAGTAATACAAACAATGGGGAGTAAAGCAAATGAAACTGGGGGGTGGGGAAATGCATCCTCATAGGATTGTAATGCTTTCAAGCTCTCTTATAAATAATGACAAAGAATGCACTGCAAATGTAAAGCAGGAGTTTTCATTCAGGTGGATTATACAAATTTAAATACAATAAGCAAGCTTGAGATAATATGTCTGCAAACAGTCATGTCGAACCTACTTTTTTTTTTTTTTAGGGTTGTCAAAGTTAAATAAACATGGTATTCAGGACTCCGAAGGTCAACAGGAAAAAAATATATCAATTGTCAGTTTTTCTACCTTTGTAGGTTTCTGATGGAGCTACGAGAATAAATTGCTTGGAGAACTGAATCAAAATTAGCTGTTTGGTCAGCCAACAGTAAAATTGCTGCACCTTTGGGAACCACCTCAGAATGCAGACTGCTCCACCACCGGGCAGCAGGGGAAAGGGGAATAGCTCACTAACATAGTACAGGCACCCTATAATGCCCACCGTCACCAGCAGTGCTCCCAAATTGCTTCAGCAACTGTTTTCCCCTAGACTTTTCCTTATTCCAAGCAACAGAAACCATTTCTCTTTGTTCCTCTGTTGCAGAATCATGCACAGCTGTCCTCTTCTCTCCCTCCTCATCTCATTGGGAGCTGGCTGCTTTTATTTTTGCTGCAAGTTTTCCCACCAAAACATAATGGAGTTCCTAAAAAATGAATTCTTTTCATGGCCAGAAAACCTATAATGGAAATGTAAACATTCAATAGGAAATGTCAAACCAAAATGAAGAGTTTTGTTCTCATGTTCTGTTTTAGTTCAGTTTTCCATGTGGGGGCTTTTGTTGGTTCCCCTTTACACTTTTCCCCATTTTTCTTTTCCTTACTGGAAAAAATTAAGGATATAAGAAAGTGAGCGAAGGCATTTTTATCTGTATGGCAGGGGCAGAGGGATATATGCACATGGATGTATGCATACCTTTTTTGTGAAGTACTAAAATGATTTTAAAAAATTGAGTGATGCTTTCACTTGCTTAAAAAAAGATTTTGTTTTAATTTTTTTCCTTTTAGTCCAAGTCACTCTTTTAAAATAGTCATAGAAATGTATTAGCTCAGTCTTGTAGTGATTTTTTTTTTCTTTTTTTTTGTAATTGACAAATGTTATCTTTTTTAACTGGCTGTTTCACACACACACACACACACAATTTTTTTAACCACTAATTTATTAGTAAAAGAAAAGCCTAGAGGTTGTTTTTAATATTACATGAATGTTTTATATGGATCCAGAGTCATGTGGGTATGAAAATAACATTTTTCTGGTCTCATAAGACCATACACTGATTTCTAGTTATCAAGCTGACTTTATTTTATATCAGTTGCGGGGGAGAGGATAAACATTTTGTTTGATGGTTGTTGGGGCTCAATAAATTAAACAGTTGCTCTTCATGAAATTGCATCTGTAATATGGCCAACTCTCAATACCATCTTACAGCATTTTTCACTCTTACATTTTTTCCACGGTGGTCATGAAATTCTTCCTTAATCTATCTTCCTTCTAGTCTTTTTTTTTTTTTTTTTTTTTTTTTTTTTTTTTTTTTTTTATAACCTCAACTCTCATGATTAACCAGAGACCAGATTTCAGAGGCAAAATATAATTGAGATATGTAGTTGTTATTTAAATAGAATCAAGCCTTTGCATAGATTGTCTAAATCATTTATGGTATTTAGTGACAAATTTAAAGACTTAGTCTATTAAGTTTTACATTTGTCCAAATGGGTTAAATTGTGTATTTCTACCTGTTCTGCCTTGATTAGCATTTCAGAGCCCTGTTCCACCACTACTGTATTACTACTGCCTGTCTAATATGTCACTTCCTCACATTTATGTAGCAGTCAATTAAAGTTAATTTTACTGGGTTTTTTCCTCCTGATTTTGGGGGATTAGATCAGGTGCCTGTTGGGACAAAAGTGTTTCTCTTTGAAGACCCCAGCCCAGTGTTAGCAAAGCATAAAAAACTGACTGCTAGCATACAACTTCTACCAAATCCATGCTCAAAGCATAACCTTTGTGTCAACGATGATCTTAATTTTGCAAATACGCGTTCAAACTGTTCAAATGTTGACTGTAACAGATTGGTTTAATAATTTGAGAATGCATTCTTTGTTTCCAGCCATATGCAACAGCATCCAAAATCCGGTCACAAAAGAAATGTTGTTTGAGATCACTGAAAGGTGTACAGCAACGTCACAAGGACAGACACGTAACCATCATCTGGATCCTGACACTGAACTTATGCCACCACCTCCTCCCAAAAAACCACGCACCATAACCTAACACCACAGGCTCAGCATATGGCATATTTACAGTTCTGCAGAAGGTGAAATGAAAGTGTGAGAATTAAAAACACTTGCAAAAAAACGTAATT